ACTGGCAGACAATGCAAGAAAGTCAAAGAGTGCTGGCCCTAAATTCAAGCTTTGGCTCAGCCACTTACTAGCTGTGTGTGTGACACTGGGCAAGTTAGGTAACACCTCTCTCTCTCTCTCTCTCTCTCTCTCTCTCTCTCTCTCTCTCTCTCTCTCTCTCTCTCTCTCTCTCTCGGGTCTCTCATTTGGAATAATAAAGCCTAACTTTCAGGTTTGTCATGAAGCTATGAGGTGACATATAAGGCCATTTCCGGCAAATGTATGGGTAACGATGACTAGAATGGGTGTTGGGGCAAGATGGACTCTGCAGGAAGGGCAACTAGCTGGGCGTGGGTAGGGACTCTTCTGACAAGGAGGCAGGCACTGAGGAGGGTGGAGATGGGGTGGATGTTGGAATCACTTTCTTCTTTATTGCCGTCCTCCTGCTGCCCACCTGTACTGGGGACCGCATAGAAAGGGTCCGTAGACGTAAACCCTCCCTTGGCCTAAAACCTACAGTAAGAGGCAGAGACAGCTGAGAAGATCAGGGAGTGACAGAACATGAGTGGATATACAAATAGACAAGATTAACTATTCCCATTTGTATACACAAGAGGCTTTGCTAACACTCAGCCAATTAGAAAACTAATCTAAACAGCCACCGGCTTCCACATCTCTTCAGAGCTCTTTGAAACAGCTGTTCAGTTTGCACTTGCTGCCATTCCTAGCAAGTGCCCAAAGACGGCTCCTTGGGTCTGGTGCCCCACTTGAGCTTCAAGGGCTCCTCAAGTGCAAAGGATCGTGTCTCTTCTGTCCTCTGGACTCACTCTAAGGCCCTGCTGCTGTCCTGTGCAGCGCTCCTGCCATGTCACCACCTCTGAGAAGCCTTCCCCAGCGCCCCCAGAAGAGCTGTGGTAGCACTTTCCATGGATTATTGCCATTTACCTGGGAGGCATATGATGAAGGGGGTAAGAGCAAACAAAGCCTTGGAAGTAGGACAAATTTGAGTTCAAAAGCTCCTAGATCTCTCACTACTCTGATCTCTGAGACTGTCTCCTCACCTAAAAAGAAGATAATTGTACCTACTTAACAGTGATTAAAAGCAAAAGAGTATATTAAAAAACCTAGCACCATTCCTGACCCACTATAAGCATTCAATACATTGGTTTGCCATTATTATTCTAACTATCATTGTTGTTGACTGAGTCACCTGAGAGCAGGAAATAATTTGACTTTGCTTCAGGCAGACTAAGATGGTCCCTGACAGTCCCTGGGTCCTGGGATTTATAGCCCAGTGTATCGCACTCCGCTTGAGTGTGAGCGGGACCTGTGACTTGCTTTTAATCAATAGAATATGGCAAAAACAAGGCGATGTCACTTCTATCATTAGGTTACATGAAATGGTGACTTCCGACTTGCTAGCTGACTTTCTCTGCTGCCTCTCAACTTGCACAGGCACCCATGCAGGAGAGGCCACATGGCAAGGAACCGAGAGCAGCCTCTGGCTCACAGCCAGCTAGCAATTGAAGCTCTCAGTCCAACGGCCCATGAGGGACTGAGCTCTGCCAACCACCACATGAGCTAGAAGGGTATTTTCCCAATTGAGCTTCAGATGAGACCCAGCCCTGGTCAAACCCTGATTACAGCCTGTGAGGCCCAGAGCAGAGGGCCCAGCCAAGCTGTGCCCAGACTCCTGGCCCCTCAAAACTATGAGATAATAAACATCTGTTGTTTTAAGTCACTAAGTCTTATGGTAATTTGTTACCCAGAAATAGACAACTAATACAACTGCTTTGTCTTCCTAACACAGCACTTGGAGCAGAGCAGAAGTCAAGTGTGGGCTAAATGGATGGATAGATGACTGATGTAGCAAGGAAACTCATCAGGGTCTGAGAATGGCCTGATTGGTCTGAACCCCAAAAAAGGGCTCTTTCCCAGCTCCCACTACCTATATCTTTTATACCTTTCTCTCCCTCACTTAAGATTCCAGGTCCCTTCTCCCTTCTCCAGTCCTCAGGACGTTGCTCTGCTTCTGGTTCCTGCATTTAGTCATTCTCTCTGAATTATATTTTCTTCTTTAAGGAAAAAAATAACCAAAAAAAACAACACCCCAGCTCTCTCTCACATATCTGACCCTGGTGAATTGGAATAATTTCTGATGGAAAGCAGTCTTGTCCAGAAAGCCTCTTACCCACCCTGCTTAGGAATGTGGTCGCTGCAGATATTAAAACAGACCTGCAGGCGTCTGCAAGGAGTGGGAGCTCGTGCCAGGAATGACCTCAGCCTGCACAGCAGGGCTTTTACCTATGAAAAGCTGCTGCTCTGGGCTGGATCACACCAGGGACCCCCACCCCCTTCTCCAAAACCTTCCCCTTGTCGGTCCCCCGTCCAGCACCCTCAGTTTAATGCCTGTGCCAGAACTTCCCACCCAAGGCTGGTACACAAAGTCAAAAGGGCAGTGCCATCCGGCCTGCTAGAGAGGATGCTGTGGGTCCCTTTGTCCGAGTGGCACCAAGTTACTTTGGCTGAAGCATGTGGGCCTCGTGGCCAGCAGTTCCCCTTTCCTTGCCTCTTCTCCTGACTCCTCCCCTCACCTTCAGACAGCTAAGAAGGATCCTGCTCAGGTTGAGAGGTATCAGGCTTTATTCCCTCTGCAGGAGATGCCCTCTTAGGGGGACTCTTGGGATCTAAACTAGGGGCTGGGAATCCTCCTCCCTGCCCAGCCAAACTTCCACCCGGACCTTGGGTTTTGTCCCACCTGATTCAGCTCCTGTGACTGACTGAACATGTCTAAGCTGAAGTTGAAAACTCTCATCAATTACCGATTTTCCCTCTTCTACTGAGAAGTTCAGAGAACTAGGAGAATCCCGACTATAACTTCTCCAGCCTCCAAATTCAACCCCCTAGTCCTTGACAATCCCCAGAATCATCACCATAGGTAATATTGGCCTCGCCCATTCCTGTGTGCAAAGTAAGTTTCCAGATTCTATTTCTCCCAAGAATCCTACAGTATTTTTAGTCCCATTTAACAGATGAATAAAATTGTGGCTGAGAAAGTTAATGTTCTCACAGTCACATAGTGAACAAGTAGAGTAGGATCGTAAACCAAGTTCTGTTGACTCATAGTCCCGTACTCTTTCCACCACTGCTTACTCCCCCAAATCTGCAAGGGCCCATGTGCCTCCAATTTTGCATCTCAGTTGTATGTTGATCACTTTGTGTTGAAACATACACACTGTATTGCCCAATTCCTACCCCTTTCACCTTCGTCTTCATCCATGGCAGCCTCTGGAGAGCTGGGTTGAGTAGTTCCATCCAGAATAACAATAGACTGACCACTGGCCTTCCAAGAGATCCAAGTTTTAAGTTCTGGCTCTGACACCACGGAGGTCTGTGATTTTTGAGTAGGTTACCTCACTTTTCTAGGCATTGTAATATGAAAGTAATAAATTGGATGATAGTTGAGGTCACGTCTCGCTCTAAACTACGTGGTTCTTTGATTCAGTTCCTCGTTGGGCTCCCTCTTGGGAAGATGACTTGGCCTGTTGCTCATTAACGCCATCTGGAACTTGGGCTGGGGGTGGGGAGCACTTTGCTAGCTGCTCCAAAGGTGAGGAGAGGACCCTGTGCCCCAACGCCACCCCAACAGATGCCCTGACTCCTGGCTGCTTCCACATGTCCTTTCTATCTGTTTTAGGTAAGACGATGAGCTCTTAAAAGGCCTCTGTTCTTGGTTCTCATTGACCAGTGATGATTGCTCAACCCTGACAGGCTGGCACTTCCCTGATCTCACAGGATGTCTGTGAGCTGGGCTGAAAGCTGTTCATGATCCCTGTGCTCAGGAAGACACAGGGGCCCTGCAGCTGCTCCCAGCTGTCCAGCTGAACAATGCAGATTCTGTCAGTTCCCGGCTGAGTCTGCTTTAGTGGGTATTCAGGTTGCAGTATTAACAGGAGGCATCTCAGCTGCTTCCTGCTCCTTGGGTATCAGCACAGATTCCTAAGAAAAGACGGTCAGTCCAGCTCTGCATCCAACCGCAACCCCCAGAAGTCGGGGGTCGGGCGTGAAAGCACTTCACCATCATCTGAGATCAGGGAATCAAACTTCCTAGGCTGGAAGGGACCCCATGGATCAAGTGTGCCTGGGTTTCTGCTTCCAGGCTCAGAGGTAGACGTACATCTCAGCTTTCAGAAACCTTCATGGCCTCCTAAGTCACCTCTTTCAGTATTTAATCACTCCGACAGGAGTCTCCTGACAGCTGTCCTCCCCACAATCAAACCACTTCTTTCATAATCTTCTTGTACAACTTGCACTAATTTGAACCCTCCACTTCAGCAAGACATATCCTACAGCCTGTCTCCCATGCTCAGCTGTCCCCCTCCATTACCAAGCGTGGCAAATGCTATCACCCAAGCTCAAATAACACCCCCGCCCCCCATTTCCACAGCAACGCTAGTCCTTCTCTTGGCTTCTGATCTCTGCTGCAAGACTTAGCTGCTCCCCAGAACTGCTGTGAATGATACCATGAGACTCTACCTAGTCTATTCATTTCCATGGTTTTTTTCCTTTCCGTATTTCTAAATAAATACTAAGTGCTTACTTGGTAATTTTGCCAATGTGCTTACCTTTGTAGGTATTTTCTCTCAGTTTTGTTTTCGTGTTCATGCCAGCATCTTCCCCACCTACTCCTTAAACCAGGAGCTAGCTCCTTCAGTGTACAGACCAAGTCTCCTCCTTCCCTCTGAACTGTTATTGGTGCTTGCATTTCTGATTATTGACTCTTAGGAAGTTCCACCTGAGAGCTAACCATTCAAGCCCATTTCCTGTTTGGTTGGGGCCTGGAAATGTGATAAGGCTTTGGCCAGCTGCCAATAGACTGGCTGGTCCCCAAGGCCAATTTGGGGATCTGAAAGGGAAAATGACTCCTATTACATAAATGTTGTTTCAGAATACACCCGAGTGGAAACAATGGTCCTTGTTGCACCCAGATCCACTCTAACCTTCTTCCTTGTGCCTAACAGCCTGGCTTGTCAAGACTGCAGTACTAGGAAGACGTTTCTGGGAGGAACACTATTACTCAGGGGCAGTCAGACCTAGAGACATGCGGAAAAGGAGTGACTGGGCAGGGGACACACCGGGGATCAGCAAAGGTGAGACGCGAGCCAAGTGTTCAGTTCCACCCTCTGCTGCCTCCACAAACACGCTGATTTCTTTAAGGCTTTTCTGGAGTCTAATAAAGAACAAGTTGGAGCCATGATTGGTGAGGGAGTCGGGTGGGGGGGGGGCGGCATTTGCTGAGCTGAGTTTATAGGCACTTGCATTTTCTTAACGGCTCCCTCCTCACACATTCCTCTGCATTTTCCCTTTTTATTAATGTGGCATCTTTCCCAGGCCACTTTATGGGACCGTGTGTGTTTTTACTTATGCCCTGATTGGGTCTGATCGTGTCTCTCCCTATGAAGAACCTTCAGATCTTTTCAAGGCCTCCCCCACACCCCTGCATTCCAGTCGCTGTGGAATTCCTGGGCTCATCCCTCAACCGAACCCCAAGGACTCCACTGTGTTGTCCACAACACGGAGCACTTTTCTGCATTAGGGTCGCACCTTATTTGGACCCCAAAGAATACACAACCCTGTTTGCCTACTCACCCAAATCTGAAATGACTACTGGCTCTTGCCCTCAAATCAAATCTTCCCCAGGGCATGAAGAGGAAGACTTGCCACGACTGAAGGTTTTTCGGAGGAATGGGCCACAGCCCTGCAGGCCGCTGCCAGAGAGGAATCAAACTGTTTGAGCAACAGCGGCTCTGATAGCACACAGCTCCCCAAGGGCTGCTTTCAGAGGCTGGCACATGGCTTAGATAGTCATGCATTGGCATGTTTATTTAAAAAACCCTCGTGTTTCTCTCAGGAGCTCTGCTCATAGCCTTTCCTTTCTTTTCAGACTGTCAGTTCCAAGAGGTCCACGCCCGAGGTTTGGAGCCGATTTTCTCGCTTTCAGCTCAGCTTTGTCAATATTGCTCCAGCGTTGTCTCCTGGTATCTGGAAGGTGGCTCCGTTTCACTTAGACATTAAGTGGCAGGCAGGGTGGCTGTCCTGTGATCTTTGAAAACCTACTCACCCTCTCCTCTCAGAGCTGTGGGTTCTTCCATTGTCAAATGAGGGAAAGAATACAGATTCTGCAGGGTCCTGAGAATGAAATGAAGTAATGTCTGGAAGAGGCCTGGCATGTTGAAGGCACTCAGTGAATGGTAGGGATTTTTATTACAAGAGACAGAGGGACCTCTTTTAGAGAATCTGCTTTTGTTTCCTAATCCTTGTCCATCCCTCTGGGATGTCTACGGACATCAGACTTCCCTCTCTGTTCTCAAGGGCAAGAATGTCTAAGTCCTTTGGGAAATATAGTTCTGGGATAGTTTTTCCCGTTGTCAGCAGGCTCTGGAAGAGGCATTAGCCCCACAAAGCTTGATGTGGGAAGTTTTACAGGTACCGCTCATCTGGCTGGCAGATGTAGCTTTGCTGCAAGATATAGTTCTGTCTTCCAGATGGGAGGGTGCCTGGAAGTCCTGAGGTGGACTGGTTTCTCTCTGCTTGGAGCCAGTGTGGGACCTACTCATGGGTCTGTCACCTCCTTCCTAAACCCTGGAGACTCTGAGCCAACGTAGGTCGAGCTGATTGTATCTGTGTCCCCTCAAACCTACATTCTGGCAATCAGCTGACCATCCCTCCACCGTCTCCCCACCCCCACTACACCCCAACACACACACACACACACACACACACACACACACACACACACACAAACACGGTTATTTCTAGAGGGGAGGAAGAGAATACTGCATAAGAGTAGTGGATGTTTCCCCCACTAGGTGAGAATTTCATTCATTTCATTAAATACATTCTTGAGGTGAAAGAGGATAAAGAGGGCTTCTCAGCTTAAGGTACTCCCTCAACATTTGAGCATTTCCCTAAAGGAAGATGGAGGGAGGTAGTGGTGGCCGATGGCCGACTTCTCCTCCCCTAGTGACGTCACACTGGCTAGCAGCAGCCCTAGTTCACCCCCTGAAGCCCCATCTCTGCCTCGATAGAAGGGAAATGAGCCTTGTCCACTAGCAGCTGTTGTCCAACCTTATTTGAGTTGGGCTTATTTGGGGACTTTTATGCTAAGGTGCTCCCTCCATCATCACTTCTGATCAAAATGCTTTTGGTCACAGGAGGCCGAAACCTATTCCCATATAGAAAGTGAATACAGGCACAGCTATGGTAGGGACAAAGAGACTTTAAATAAATGAAGTACCAGGCCTTGTAGTTCTCTCTCCTCTTGACCTACAGAGCCTCCTGTCTCAGCTTTTCTCTCTGCCTAATTTTGATTTAACTATGGTTTCATCATATGGCCCTAACTCAAGTACTCATTGAACATGAAGTTGTAGTTTAGCTCCCTGCAACTAAGTTGGTACAGAGCCTACGCTTTTTTTTTTTTAAATTTCAAACTCTTAAGAGAGAATAACTGAAAGACAGTTGTCCAGCCAAGACATTGTCTGGCCTTGGGCACCTTCTCCTGGTTGAATGGGCTGTGGCTGAGGAGTGGAACATGTTTAAGGTAGTTGAACATGGGGAAACAGATGCTCTGAGAAGCACACATACCCCTCCCAAGGCATATCTGATCCCCCCATGTGGTTCTGGGATTCATTGACGGACAGATAACATCCATCTTCAGGGACTCTCTCCTCCACAGAGGCTGGGGGTGGCGCTCAAAAGCTGGAGAGGCAGGAGCACCACTGCAGCACCTGCCACCTCCTCACTCTGGGGACATGGTGAAATTTCTCAAAAGAGTGCCCAGGGAGAGAGTATCCTGTGAAAATGGCACTGGACTGGGAGTCAGGAGTTCTATTACTGATTCCAGCTCTGTTGCTAACCACAGAATGGCCGCTGGAAGATGCCTTTCACCCTGTGGGTCTTCGATTGTCTATACGCTAAAAGAATTAATAATAACAATAACAAATGAATAGTGTTGAATTAAATAATGTCTAAGGTTCTTGCCAACCTCTAAAAATTTCCTAAGCCTACCTCCTCGCACCCCTGCCCACAGCAGTTTCCCAGAGCTCTTTGACCCATGACTTTGGCGGTGTCTCTGCCAGCCACCTCTCTCCCATGACAAACCATCGATCCCGGCGATAGGCCCTGCCGGAGGCTTCTCAGCCTGAACCTGCAGCCATCCAAGACAGCCCAGGCCAGGCCTTCCTAGAGGGCGGGGGTCAGGAATCCCAACTTCAAGGAGCGCATTTATTCTGAGCTTCTTAGAGGCTAAGGACAGGGCCTGAGCACTTGCTCTTTGGCAACACCAGAGAGGGCAGGCTGGCCTCAGGGACTCGTCCAACTGGGTTATCCCACTGGGTTATTAGAGCCTGTGAGAACAGGGGAGGCTACAGAAGAGGGGTCAGCAACAGCCTCAGAAGGTCAAGGACAGTAAGCCACCTGGGGCTGGAGAGGGGGGAACAGAGAATGTTGTAGGTCCTAAGGGGAAGATGGCAGGACCAGGGGAAATTGCTTGTGTCTTTTGGCAGGAAATGAATAACATTCAAAGAATATGCAAAAATCCACACTAATCAGCACCTGTTCACTTTGGAGCCAGTGGCTTGGGCCTGTGGCATCTGAGGCTGAGCCTGGCTTTGGGGTCTCCCCAGGGGAGGAAATACAGTACATTGAGATCCACTCACGTGTTGAAAGAGACACTGGTCCTAAGTGGGTGGAGAGAAGTAGGGTGCCCTCAGCTTCCATTGCTCCTTCCCAGCCCCAAATGCTCTGTTATACACCCCCCCCCCACTCAACCCCAGGCAGATGGCTGCAAATTCTGCAGGGGCCTCTGAGCATTCCCTTGGCTAAGAGCCACATTCCAGAACAACATATGTTTCATCTCAAGCCCACAAGGTTTGCACTTCCAAGTGGAGCCAAAGAGAAAACCTTGGCTCAGACTGCGCATTTCTTAGGAGAGGTGGGGGTGGGGGGAGGCCACTGGGGAGGTTGAAGCTATCATGTTGAGGAACATTGGAGTTAATGCAAAGCTAGGTCCAAAATCTGAGACACCCTCATTCTCTCAAAACTTTGCAAGGCACCTACCCAGGAGATGGAGCAGGCAGGGCCGCTGCCTGTAGCTGTTGTCCAGCTGCCTCTCATGCTGCCTGCCTGTTCCTCCAATCCCCTGGTCCCTCTTCTATACCTTTGCCTGAACCCATGGCCTCCTGAACCAATGCTTCATAACCCAGGGCTGCACGGAGGGTGGAGGACAAAAGGGATGACTCCTAATCTCTCTCTGCCCCTTAAAAAAAAAAGCCTGCCCCTCATCTCCCCTTGCCTCCACCTCTCTGCTCTGAAAGGTAAGTTTCTCTGGCCTTCTTCCAAGTCTGGAGGAGGTTTTAGGGAGGATCCAAAGTTGGAAGGAATGAGACAGGAGGAGGAGGACAGCAGGGAAGAAATAAGAAGGAGCAAGAGGTGGGGTAGGGCAGGAGGGCAGAAAGGGACGACAGAGGGTCTAGGGCTGGAGAGAGGGAGGGGTCTCCTCTGGTGGGTGGAACAAGGAAGAGAGGAATAGCGGGGTCGGTCCTGTGGGGTTCTGCCCTGTGGTAAGCGAGGGGATTTCTGACAGCAAAGTAAACTGTGGTGTGCTGAGTTTACCCAGCTCCAATACGCAGTGCCTGGAGTGTTTAATGTTTCCTTCTCACTGAATTAGTTGACAGGCACTGAAATGCAGCCAGCCCCTTGCTGTCTTTTGGCGAGGAAGGGGGTGGGGAAGCAAGGCTGAGGTTGTCAGCAACGCCGGGTTCCTGACCCCACCCCAGGACATGGAGACTTGGGTGGGACCTGGGAAGTCCAGCTAACACAGGTACAAAGTTCCCCATCAAGGAGAAAGAACCTGAACTACATTTCACCCCGCGTCCCACCTCCTCCCACATCGGACCCAGGCCAGCCAACACACACCCAGCCATCCAGCCCTTCCCACAGCCCGTTTATTTTTCCCATTGTGCTCTCTTTATTAAACGCCTGCCTGTGGGGTTAGAGTCTCAAAGAGCCGAGCGCATGCGGATAGAGGCAGAGGATACACAGACCACAAAATAAATCAGGAAGACACCAGAGCTCAGCACCCAAGAGCAAAATAAACTAACCCTGGCATGATGCCCAGCACCATGTGCTGGTGGGTTTTATGCTAAATAAGGATGAATGGCTTGAAATATTGGGGGAAAATAGCTTTACTTCCAGGGAGGTTCCTGGGAAGGAACTGGCTTCTGAAAGGCCCTTAAAATAAAATGGAGGAGGGAAGTTTGGACAGAAGGGCAATTCAGGGAGTGGCATGGACAGAAGCACAGAGTAGGGGGGTACAAGAAGCAGACAGGTGGTGCATTGAGAAAGTGAGTCTGTGTAAATGGCAGGGAATGGGTTAGGAGCTGGAAGAGGTGGGGAAGGACAGAGAGGGCTTTGGGCACAGAGCCAGAGGCTTGTCCCAGAACTGCAGCAGGGCGTGAGTCCTGGGCTGCCACTGTGACTCCTCAGCCCCTACACAGAGAATTAGAGGTCACTCTGGACCTTTAGGGCAAGTGGCAGTGGACATACGGTGGGGAAGAGGAGGGGCCAACGACCCTAAGAAGCAGCCCAGGCTGGGGACCAGGACGCAAGCTGTGGGCATTGAGAGGGACGGGGCATGAGGCTATGTTACACGGGCGTGTGCATGGCAAGCTGCGGGAGCAGCCGGGATGAGCAGGGTTAAAAAGGGGGAAAAGTAGGCGGTTGTTCACTGCCTGGGAGCAAGGCAACTGGAGAGAGTTGGAGGGTGCAGGTCAGGTAATGGTGTGTAAACACGACACAGCTGCCAAGAGAGTTGTGTGATTAACTCAGTCTCATTTAACTCAGACTCCTGGGGTCTCAAGTCCTGCGTCTCTTCAAAAGTATTTTTAAATGCCCTCCTAAAAGCAAGGGGAAGGGGTAGATTAGTAGCTTCAGATGGGCTCCAAGGAGCTCTTAGGAAGCCAGCAGAGGGCAGGGAGAGGAAGGGGGTAAGCAGGGTCGGGGGTGAAGGAGGTACGGGGTAAGCTCACGTCGTCCAGGGATTTTAGTATCACTCCCCATTTCAACCAGAACAGCTCAACATTATCTGCTGAATTTGTTTATGCTCTTGTGCAAAATTTCCTTGAAAGAAAGGCTTACCACTGAAAGCCTGTAAAAGAATAGCTTGAAAACCACTAAGGTATAATTTCTCTTGGTGGGAGTCCCCACCAGCTTTAAGAACTATGATTCTGTGAAGGAACATGCAGTGAACACATGTACCAACTTTTGGGCCCAGTTCCCAAATTCAAATATTCTGGCCCATTGTCAGAGCATTTATTCTCATTTCTGTTGTTGTGCAGAAAAACACGATCAGCATAAGTATTTGTAACTCTCCCCTCTTTTTATTTGGTTCAGGAATGCGCGGAAACAATACAGATTCCACCATCCCCGCAGCCTGTGCCCAGGGCAGGCATCACAAGTCAATAACAGCACTCTCAGAATGGTAATAATAGCAACAACAATAATAACAACACTCTTGGGATCTGTCTACACTGGGCACTCCAGGTAGCTACCCCTGAAGCGCTGGTACAGGAGCCGAAACCTCTCTGCTGGCCCAGATTTGCTTGGTTGTCTGACTCCAAGGGTACAAATTGAAGGACCACTGCAACCACGGCCCACCCCCATGTCCTTCCTGGCTCCTGGATCTGTAGGAC